AGACTGCAATTTATGTAGTTGACAGACCATCAGAGTGCAAGAACATTTGCATAAACTACAGAATGCTATACCTAAACTACATTCATAAGTAAAACAGCCCTCCCTGTTTGGATGAATAAGAAAATCCTAGTATCCATCAAAGTAACACTTATAATGTATAAGCAACACAATTTTACGTTTCAAACCAAGATATTAAATAATTCTCCAAAAAAATTAGGACAAAGAAAACAAAAGAAACTACAAAGAAAAATCAGATCTTCTGACAGAATTCTCTTAAAAAACTGTGCTGAAAAAACAGAGGACTCTGAAAATAAAAATGACATCTCCAAAAGGACATATCACACTTCTGCAAATCATAAAATGCCACGAAAGGCATCCCTCTAGAATATGATCAAACAAAAGCATCCCAAACAATTCTCACAATAGTGCATGGGTTAAACAGGTATGCAACTTATGAACACCATAATGTAACATATCACCAGCAAGAGGCAACAATAGCACTCCCCTTCCATGCTTTTGCATACTTCTACCTCCTTTACCCAGATGGTAAAATTTCATCTCTTACACAAGTTGACAAAACAAGAAATCAAGGTAAACCTTCAATGAGGACAAAAAACACTATGATTTTCAACTAACAACTAAAAAGCAGACAAGAAGTTTACATGTAACAAGGAAATGGAAAAAAGACATCTTCAAAAGGCATTGGAGACCAGCGCAAGCAGACGGTTGCAGAACTAAACCTAAAGCTCTATAGACATAATTGAAACTAAGAAATCAATGAAAAGATACTGGTACTGATTAGCAGACGGTTGAAGAACTAAACCTACAGCTCTATAGCCCTAATTGAAACTAAGAAATCAATGCAAAGGTAATGGTACTGATTAGCAAAGTTTCGATGTCCAGACGAGTCCATGCATAAACTACAATGACTCGGATCAGGAAAGAAAAACTTTGTAATGTCATTATATATCCAATTAATCTCATGCCCTGCCTGTCTGATTCAACTCATAATCTCGTGCACCTCATTCCCATAATTATACAAAACTCTGAGTTAAAGATTCTCCACCACAAATGATTAAATATTCAATAAAATATAAATTTGAACCACGGAAGTAAAAAGTAAATTGCACAATTGTGAATGTATCTGATCATGTTTACGAGTGTAAGCAAGTTGCCTTCAACTTTGTTGATCAAAATCACAAGATGGGTAAACAATATAGATGACAGAAACAAAAGTTTTTCCCTGGCTTCTTCCGCATTCTCTGCTACTTCATTTTGTAGTTATTAATGAAAGCAAAAAGAGAAACACTTTATCTTATTCTTTGAAGATATCTGTCATTAAGATCCTACAAGTTTCAGCTTGAACACCTGACTTTTATTTGTCAGTTTAAACAAGGGATGAAAATTTTGCTTTGTTTCCATTGCAACAATCAAAACATTTCAGAACGAATCAATAACTGAATGTCAAAACCCCTATGTTTTGAGGTATTTCCGAATGTTTTGGTATATTTCGAACGATATTAAGGGGAAAAAAAATTAAAAATTTTCTTTGCTCTATTCTATTTCCAAAAAAAATTCAAAACATTACTGTTTCCTTGCTAACCGAAATAATGTACTNTAATACGTACCTCAAGCTAACAACCGTCCGTTTTTCTTCTAAAATTAAATAGATAAATTATACGTAGACCCCTTCATATTTGTCACATAATTATTTAGACTCCTCACATTTAAAATATTACACCTACGCCTTTTGATAATCTAAATATGACTAAAAATGTTCTCTCAAATAATTTAATTTATGCAGTATTGTATTAAATATAAATAACATTATATAAATACATGCATTATATTAGTCATTCAATGTTATGTTTAATTTTAAACGTTAGAGTATAATGAACTCACAAAATAAAAGGTAGTATAAAATTATAATTTTTTATTAGAATTAAATCATATTTTTTAATGGTTATATTTACAAATATCAACGATAATGGATTATGTGTTACGCGTACACAAACGCCAAGAGATAGAGGAGTAAATTCTAAATGTAAGGGGGTTCAAATAATTAAGTGGCAAGTATAAAGGATTTAAATGTAATTTATCCATTTAATTTTAGAGAGCAATAATTGTCAGTTTCAGGTGCATATTAATACAAATTTCTATTTTTGAGGATACAAATTAAAATTTTTGATCATTGAGAATACAAATTGAGATTTGAACGATTTTTTAGAGTGCAATTTAATAAAAATGATCCTAATTTTTTATTTATATTAACTGAAAAATAGAGGATTTAATTTGACGTTTTATTTTTAAAAAGTGAAATTTATTCTTTATTTTATCATTAATAAATAAAAAGATCATACGTATACTTTTTACTAAATATTTTAATTATTGAGTATATTTATCTACTACAATATATATATACATATTTTTATCAATAAGCATGTTGTATCCACAAAAATATGCAAGTATTATAGTGAAGTTTATCGAGAGTCATTGATTGTGGTTTAAATTGATTTGTAACTATTAATTATAAAAATAATTAAATTTTACAAGTATCAATATTTTTATGAAAATAAAATAAAAATGCAATAAAAAAATAAAATTTTGATACCATAATTATACCGTTGATTAGCGTGACATTATAATTTTTTAAAATCAAATTTTTCATTTTTTCAATTGATAAAAATGATGATCCTATCTTAAACATTTTTAAAATTTTTTTTTTTTTGGTACAAGTGTTCAGGATTGCGCCGAATTGCGTCGATACTTGCTAACAAAAAAAAAAAAAAAAACATTGTTCGTACTTGAAGGTGGACAAGTCTCAAACCCGATTCTACAAACCCGATTTGCTAAACGGTAAACGAGTTGTGTGATCAGATACAGCCGTACAGTAGGCCAACCTATATGTACATGTATATGTATACACAAGCACCTATATATAGTGAAAACTCCGACTCCAACGTGAAGCGCACGGAAAAGGGCCGTTCTACGTTCAGTTTCCGGCAGCTTCACCGGTGACCAATTCATGGAGGTAAACCATGCATTATGAAAGGTCTTTCACGGTTTTCGATATGCAAACATTTTGTATTTTCTTTTTTTCAAATCATGAATGAATGTTGGTGTTTTGCGTTGTAATATGATCATTATGGGTCGAATTCAATCATAAGTTTGTATTCTGTTATTTATGAAAAATATTTTGAATTTCTCTGTCAATTAATACCCACACACACAAAGAAAGATACATACATGACAAAAATATATGCGTAGTTATATGTACGTCAACTTGTATTGAATTTTCGTATGAGATTTCTTGTTTATTGTTCATCAATACGATAACGATTTGTTTGTTTAAATCCGATAATGGTTTTACGTTGAAGACCAGATTTTCCCGTTTGTTCCCTTTTTTTGTATCTTTATTTTCCACATTTCCAATAAATCTTCTTGGCTGTTAGCTTAGTTCATGTTCACTGCTTTGAAAATTTTTGGGTTTTCTTTTTATTGATATCCAAAAAGGGTTTTACTTTAGGGATATGAAAATAGGGTTTATTTCTCTTTCAATCTTGAATAATTTCAAAGGCTAGTACCTCTCTAGGCTCTAGCACCCTGGGTTTAGTGGGGACTGACTCTCCTAGCACCTTCGATTGATGGAAACCAAACTAACTAATGATCTTTTATTTCTATTTCACTTTTCAATCAAGCTGTAATTGACAAAATATTGCCAAATTCTCTCCTTTCACTTCTTTGCACTATTTTCATTTTTGAAAAAAGTTCACGGTGACAAAGATGATGTCATTATAATTTGCGAGAAGTCATTTCATTGGAATCAGAGGATTTGCAATCATTATGTATTAAACAAATGTAGTGACTACTTGCTTCCTCCTACAGCTATGGTTTTTTTGTTTATGTTGATTAAGGCAGTTTTTGGACTTAAACAATTTTATCTTTAAGTCCAATGTATGTTGTCTACACCTCGTTTATTTATATGCATTGGTTAGATAATGTTCAACGTGATATATAAGAGGGAAAAAGTTGAAATATACCTTGTTATGGTTTTAATGTTAGTAGTATTGTTATTTATGACTCATGTAAAAGATCCTCCGTGGTTACAGTGTCCGGGCACATCTATTATGTGTTAGTTTGGCACCTTATCATTATCAATTCTTTATGGTCTTGTACCAGGTGGTTGTTATCTTCAACTTCACTTGATGGTATGTGTTTTTAATTCTATTTTTTGTTGTCTGGCCTCGCATTTATCATAAGATTTGTATTTTAGTCATAATTATTGGTTAACAATTTTCTTATCTTGATGGAGTTTTATCCCCTAACAATAGCTAGTTTTAAATCATCTATTAAATATTTCTTTCAAGAATATCCATGAATCTCTAGTTGTGAGGGGAACTCATCTTCTTACATTTGGCAACCTAAGGCTTTACCATTACACCTAGCAATGGCCCTTCCAACATGTAAATCAACAATTATCCCATATAATTAGCTAACGTTCCATGGATAAGGAAGATTTACACTTTCTTGTGAGGCGTATCTCTGGCTCTTTGCACAAGTATCATGCTCTCTCTCTCTCAAGTATCCAGTTTTTTTTGAGATAAACTGAATGGGGGCTTGCTCTTATAGTTTCTCACTCATGAACAAACTTAATCAGGCAGCACTGTGACCAGAGGAACCTATAGTTCACCCAAATGCTATGAATTGACTGGAACAATAGTTGTTACAGAGTGCCAATTTCAATTCATGGAAATTTCATCAGTTTATAGCCTATGTATTGTGAAATGTATCATACAAGAAGGTGCTGCCTAGTAGTATAACCGAATGGTTCAAAGACGTGGGTGGTGCATGGTTCCTTTACGTGCAAGGAATCCTTGTTACATTATTGAGGGTCTGCACTCCCAATTTTATTTAAGCATATGGTTTGTCGCTGCTTGTCTTTCAGGTTCTCAGAATTTAACTTCATTGGGATTTTGGGGTATTTCTTTTGCTCAAATTAGATGGCAGCTGGTGGTAGCACGCACCAAAGCTTTAGAAAAGCTCTTGGAGCTCTAAAAGACTCCACAAAGGTTGGATTGGCCAAAGTTAATAGTGAATACAAGGTGACGTTGGAATTGTAAAGTTAGATTCTTAAATTCCTTGTGGTATAACAGCATGTGAAGGTGATTATGCTGTGTTCCAGGAGCTGGATGTTGCAATCGTCAAAGCCACAACCCATGTTGAAGTGTTGCCAAAGGAGAAACATATACGCAGTGAGTGAAGCGCTTTTAATTGTCGAAGTGCAATTTACTACAGACATGGTGTTACGGTCTCTGGTTTATTTCTTGTGCTTCTTACTTTACTTGGAAGATGTAGCAACATTTTTTAATTTTTTATTGTAAATGAGAAAGAACTCAATAATCATATAGTTGAATGTCATATACCCGATAAATTATAAACTTGAGATCTAAGATATTTTGTGCACTATCTCAGAATTCCACCATTTTGATTCACAACTTCTAGTCAAATGTGGATTTTTCAACTTCAAGTTTGTTAATATTGAATTTCCAAGGAACATTGAGTTCTTGTGAATTGTCTTTGTGCACTTGTTTATCTTGTAACATTGAAATACTAATGTGTTTATATTCTTCTGTCAGCAATCTTTGATGCGGTTTCAGCTTCCAGACCTCGGGCAGATGTTGCTTATTGTATACATGCTCTTGCCAGACGTCTCGCTAAAACACATAATTGGACCGTATGTTTCTAAGCATCTTTCTGTCTTAAATGTTTAGCTCTGTGTTCAGTGCTTCCCCACCTTATTTCTGAAGCTTAATGTTTTTTTTTTTTTTTTTTGGGGGGGGGGGGGTAGTGCTTTAAGAGATGACACTTACCTACAATTGCATTTAATATCAAAATTACCCACACATTATCATGATTACAGTTGCCTCATTCATGTAGAAACTTATCCTTGCAATTTGCAAGGTCCTATCTCACTCGCTTTCCTCTCTGATGGGTCTCTCCTTCTGTGCTCTTCAACATTCTTCCCAACTAGTTGAAATTCAAATAATTTCATTGATGGCCTTTGCCTTCGTATTCTGTACAAGATCCCCTCAAAAAATTAATTCCAAAAATGTAATGGTGTTGGTAAACTCTTGAGACAACTTAATTGGAGCATGAATTTCCACATATTTGGGTTTGACTATGTGTCAGTATCGTTCTATCCTATAACCTACAATTAGCATGCAATATTATGCGTCAATACATATGCTATCTTTCAAATTTTTCTCATTTGTAGAGTATTCATCATAATTTGTTTCATTCTTGCTTAACAACACGTCAATGGAGGGTGTAAAGGAGAGTTTCTGCTTCAAATAGCTTGACTTCGAAAGTAGTTTAGAACTTATAACTTTGAAGTGATTAGGTACGAAACTTTGTTCACAATATAATTTTGATGTGTGCTCAGGTTGCCTTAAAAACTTTAATTGTTATACATCGTGCATTGAGGGAGATAGATCCTACGGTTCCAGAAGAGCTCATTAATTATAGCCAGAGCAAAGGTCATATGCTAAACCTGTCACATTTTAAGGATGATTCAAGCCCAGATGGTATTTCTTGATCTTTAGTTCAAAGTAATTACAAAAAGTTTGTATTATCATGACCTCACCCTTCGCATATTTTTTGGTGTTAAGCATGGGATTATTCTGCTTGGCTTCGTACTTATGCTTTATATCTTGAAGAGCGCCTAGAATGTTTTCGAATACTGAAGTATGATGTTCAGACAAATAACTTGGTATGCAGTTTGTATGAAGCTAATTTTTATTGAAGTGTTACTTCCTGTTCTTAGAAAAATTTAGTCTCTAAATTTGTTCTTGCGTTTGCAACTTAATCTAAAATAAGTTATTTTGAAATAATTAGAAAATATAAGAGACGTGATTGCAATGGGCTTTGAAATTTGCTTTTAAATAATCAGGACAACAATAAACGATGCTCACTTAGAAAAATACATAGAAAGCAGGAAGACCAAAACTCTGAACATGATTATAAACATGAGCATGTATTCTGCTATTCAATTCATATAATAGTTTTCTAAATATACTTTTGTTGAAGGACAGCTCAACAATTTAAGTGAAGCACTAATAGCAGAATTAATTTAAGTGAAGCACTAATTTTTCAATCCAAGGCTTGTCTAGCTAGAACTATATTTTTATTTTTTAGTCGCAACATATTATGGTCGAGATATTTCGGTAAGTTTTGAGGTATTTCGGCATGATTCGACCTATGTTTTGACCAATTTGTGGAAATAAAATTTTAAATTTTTCTTTGTTTTTGAAATGTTTCTGAAATATTATTGAAACGTTTCTGTTTTCAAGCTCATTGAAACTATGCACCAAAACAAAAATTTCATCCTTGAATTTTACTATAAAGTTTTAATTAACATCATAAAACTTTCTTTATGCAATTATTTTTGTTCTTGATATTGATATATAACATCCAATAAACTCTTTAAATAAATAAATAAATATACTAGTTGATGCACAAGTACATTGTAGATGGATCATTTTGAGCTATAGTTTAAATTTTTTATGTTTAACCATTTGCTAATAAACCTTGATACTCCAATGCCCATTGGCTTAAAAAACTAATTTTGCTCAGACATAAAAACACTAAAGACAAATAAAAAATTTATGACTTATTATTAAAATACTTACGGATTTGTACATGCAAGCTTTGTATAATATTGTTTGATAGTGGTTAGATTGGATTTTGCTTCTTTATGGATTCGATGGTCCAAAATATTAGGATAAATTATTTGAGAAAGTTAATGACCCAAAGTGAAGATAAAGAATTTATATCCAACTAATAACCTGTGAGATTTACATTTGAGAGACATAGTAGGAGCCCTAGAATTTGTGTTCTAATACGAAATTGAAGGAATATGAAAGTCGATAAGGTTAATATGGATAAATTTGAGCAAACAAAAGTAAGATCAAAGGATTTGTTATGATATAATTGACTTTATAAGATTAATTAGGGATAAAATAGAAAATCAAAATTTTATCAGTTTGTTGAAATTTATATGTTATACGGATCCGGATATCTAAATATGTATTTTGTACATAAGGGTAGTTCTGTTTCTCTTCTTGCATTATGATGCTTCCCCTCACCTATACATAATTTGTGGTTGATGCCATACTGCATGTAGTGCATTCAAAGGGACATGACTGTTAATCGGATAACTTTCCATTTCTGTCGGCCGACAAGTTATGTGATGCTTATGTCAGTGATACAAATTTGTTAATTTTGTTCGAATAATTTGTTGCTTTTCTTGACAATATATGCTCTTGTACGATTGATAGGGTTACTTATTAGCGATTTTGCATTCAATAGTCAATTTATGTTTTTTTTGATAAGAAACAACATGCCGTTAACAAGAAGAAAACATTATATAGTATGAGCAAAGGTGGACAAGACGTCCAACCCAATTTATGTTTTAGTGGTGTCTTTTAAAATTTAACAGTGACCTTCATTCAAGTAACATGATTAAATGGTCCTGGACAGAAAACAATAGGCCACCTTGGACTATTAAGCATAAATGAGGTTTTAGGTCCAAGTTTCCTGCGTCTTACTATACAAGTCCTTATCTTGTCATAGAATCAGTTTGTGCTATTGTTGATATGCTTCTTGGTCCATCAGTTTCTATTCTGGGATAGTGATGCAAATAATACTGTGTAAAATTTGCTGTTAACAGAGAACTAAGGGGCTAGACACCCCAGATTTGCTTGAGCAGTTACCTGCATTGCAACAATTACTTTTTCGCCTTCTTGGTTGCCAGGTATTATCTCCACCCATTATTCTACAATTTTTTGGAATAGCTTCTGTCTCCAGTTTGAAAGTATATGATTTCACCATAACTGCTTATCAAAAATGATTTCAGTTTCTTAGTAGTGCACAATTTGTACTGTTCTTGAGGAAAATTAAGCATGTGACTTTTGTGCAGCCAGAGGGGGCAGCTCGGCATAATTTCTTGATCCAGTATGCCCTTTCAGTTGTAAGTAATAACAAAGCTGTATTCTTTGAATATCAATTATTTGTTGTTGTTAGGATTTGGCTTCCTCTTATTGTCTTCCTACTTCAGGTTGCAGCTGAAAGTGTTAAAATTTATGTAACAATTACTGATGGAATGGTAAATCTGGTAGACAAGGTACAATTTCAGTTGTGGATTGATGCAATCAGATGGCCACTTTACATGTCTTATAAAGTAGTGTTAACATGCATTGTGTAACAGTTTGATGGGGATCGTGTAAGAATCGGATAGACATTTTAGATTAATCATGAGAGTAATTTAGTATTTATCTTTTAAGTATTTTCTTTTTAATTTTTAAGGGTTTAGTTGTCATTTTGATTATTTATTTATTTTATGGTTTGTGATCTCCTTATATATATAGGATTTGTGAACTCCTTATATATATAGGGGATACATATTTGTTGAGAGACTAGACTTTGATTATTGATTATTGATATTGAATCTTCTTCATAAAATTTTATTTCTATTCTCATCCCCTTCTTCTTCTTTTCTCATCCCTAATTCTTCCCTAATACGATCTACATCAATTTGGTATCAGAGCCCAATTTCGATTAGTACAAATCACAAAAAAAATATATATATATATTTCAAAGTTCACACGTGCACTGTTCACCGAAATCACTGTTCATCTGTGAAAAAAAAAAAAGCCGGGTCATTACTAGATAACGAGATAGATGAGCTTAAAGAGTAGATTGACCAGTTNGTTCATCTGTGAAAAAAAAAAAAGCGGGTCATTACTAGATAACGAGATAGATGAGCTTAAAGAGTAGATTGACCAGTTCAAAAAGAAGTGGGAGATTTATGGAGTGACAATCATGTGTGATGGATGGACATCCACCACAAGATTATCTATCATTAACTTCTTAATATATTGTGATGGAAAAATTGTCTTCCACAAGTCCATTGATAGTTTTGGCCATGACAAGGATGCTGTTGTTGAAGAAATTGGAGAGAAATATGTGGTTCAGATTATTATAGACAATGGTAGTGCGTATAAAAAAACTGGTGAAATGTTGATGGAAGGAAGACCGCACTTATATTGGACTCTTTGTGCTGCCCATTCTATGGATTTGATTTTGCTTGATTTTTCCAAAATTGAAACAGTTCAAAATGTGCTAGAGTAAGCTAAAAGAGTGACAAATTTTATCTATAATCATAATAGAGTCTTGGATATAGTGAGAACATTTTGTACGGAGGAATTGATTCGGCCAGGGCAAACAAAATTTGCCATTAATTATATTGCCCTACAAAGTATTTTGGAGCAAAAAAATAGCTTGCAAAGGATGTTTACTTCAGAAGGTTGGTTTAGGACTGCGGCAGCAAAAGATCCAGTTAGAAAACGAGTTCAAGGGACAATTCTAAATCCTAAGTTTTGGGAGACTGGAAAAAATGTGTTGAATATGCATACACCTATTGCAAAAGTTCTCAGAATTGTGGATGAGGAAAGAAAAGCAACAATGTCATATGTATATAAAGCAATGAAATGAGCAAAACAAGCTGTCAAAGACGCGGCTCCTAAATCGTGCAAAAAATATCTTTACATCATTGATGCTCAATGGAAAAAACAAATCATTCAACATATTCATATGACACGTAAACTTATTGTTTATCAATTTATATTTTTATTATGTATAAGTGTTATCGTTTTAGATGTTATCATTTATAAGTGTTATTATTATTTGAACCCTACATACCATTATGAAGAAGATGTTGTGCTAGAAAGTTTGTTGGGTTCGTTTCGGATCGTTGTGTCTAGATTAGAGACAAATCCAAACAAGGCTGCTGAAACACTTGCAGAGGTAATACTTTAGTATTTCAATCTCAGTTTACAAATGTGACAAATTAATATATAACATCAACATATCCATAATATTTAGATAAAAATATTTCGGGAGGCCATGTATTGTTTTGCTGACCAAGTAGTAATTAGAGGAAGAACAAAAAGTGATCCAGGTATTTAAGTAGATTATTTACACACTTATATTTTGTTCTCATGATTTTCTATTTATATTTTTCTTTAAGGTTTTAATATGTTTCTTATTATTATGCAGCTGAATGGTGGTTTATGTATGATACTAGTGCTCCAAATTTGAGAAAGATTGCTATGAGAATATTGTCGCAAACAGCCTCATTTAGTGGTTGTGAGAGAAACTGGAGCACATTTGCTCTCATTCATACTAAAGTGCGAAATCTACTCAATTATCAAAAGTTAGAAAGGCTGGTGTTTGCACAATATAACATGAGGTTGAAGTTAAAACACCTTATGAAGGACAAAAAAGGGTATGAATTCAGACCTATAGACTTAACCACTATTTTTGAGGAAGATGAAGGTATTTCGGAGTAGTTAGATGATCCTGGTGATGCACTTTTAGATGAACTTGATGATGATGGGCAACCAACAAGACCAAACACTTTCCTAGCAATGTGGGCAAATCATTTTTCAGATGACGATAGAGGAGTAAGCCTAAGTCAAGGTGTCGTGCCACCATGAAAATCAAGATCCAAAATAAGTAGAGAAGGATCAAGTAAAGCAATGGATGATGAAGAGTTTGACGGACTAATGAGAGGTCCACCAAGACGTAAGCAACCTATTACTGTCACTAGTAGTACTGAGGATGATCATAATGGTGATGGTAGCAATGATGATGGTGGTAAAGATGATGATGAAGATAGTGGTGGTAGTGGTAGTGGAGATGGTGACAGCGGAGGTGGTGATAGTCATGGACATGGAGGTGATGGTGATGGTGATGAAGGTACGGGGAGCCAAAGTCCACATGGAATTGTATTCACTGTAGAGGAAGGATTTACACATGCTACACAAGATGAAGATCATGACTCTCGACGAATGCTTCAATATGAACGACGCTCAAAATCAACTCGAGATCATCAACGTGAGCATACTCAAAATCCGATCACTCCACATGGTATGGGTGGTATTAGTCATGGAGCTGATATGATTAATGATGGTTTTTCTACTATGAGTATAAGNATGAGCATACTCAAAATCCGATCACTCTACATGGTATGAGTGGTATTAGGCATGGAGCTGATATGATTAATGATGGTTTTTCTACTATGAGTATAAGTGGAAGTGAACACCATAATTATGGTTCGTCGTCTTCATATGGTTATGGTTCTAGACATGGCATTCTCTCGTATGATTATGGATCGGGATATGACACACGAGAATACGAATATGGATCCTCAACATATGGTTATGGATCTGTCTATAACTCCCAAACATCCTCCTCATATAGACAAGATGAAGGTTGGCTAGGGACTGCTGCATTCGTTCCCCAACAGATTGGATGTAGTGTTGCAGACTACCAGAGGTTTGGGAGAGAGTATAATTCATATTATCGTAATAATATGAGTTGGAGTAACTATTGTCATCATATTTATGTCACATATGGAGTTTCTTTAAGTAGCTACCCAGAGCCTACACCGATGTATGAGCTTGCTCGACACTCCACAGGGGGATGGATGGCCTACACCGATGTATGAGCTTGCTCGACACTTCACAGGGGAATGGATGTAGCCATGTAAGTATGTCTTCATTAGCATTTCATGTATATTATGAGACCTTATTATTATGTAAAAATGTGTTTATTTGATAAAAATTAAGTGTTTGAAACTAATTTAAGTGATTTTCGCCTCATGTCAAGCTTTTTTTTTTCTCCAATTTAAATTTATTCTTGTATAAATAGATGTTAACCCAATAAATATGTTGAATTAATCAATTATTTAGCTTATCTTTATAAATTAATGGATTGTATTTGTGTTTTCATGCGTTTTCATATTTTTTCTGTGTTTCTATTGCGTTTCCGAAACGCTTCCGTTTTTTAGCTGACCGAAACGGTAGTTCAAAACAAAATTTCGATCCTTGTACTAGACATTCACTTGGCCAATTATGTGAAGAATATAGAGGGGTGAAAAATCAATTATCTGAATTAACAAGTCAACTTTTTCACTTAAATAAAATTCTTGCAAGTTAGCAAATGAAAGAAAATAAGGGCAAGTCTCCAGTTTCACCTAATGTCGGACACCCGCATAATGATAGTCATATTTCTGTTTCATTGGACCCTCATGCTTTACATCCTTCAAAACATACTTTCAATCGTTTAAACATTAATACTAGTGATGAGATTATTTTTGATCCTATCATGTTTCCCACCTCATCGGTGCCAAAAGTTAAATCATCACTAAGCGTTGAACTTGAGGAAAAATTTATTAAGTTGGTTACTATACAAGACGTTGAGCATATTGAACTATCTATTTTACAATCTATTGGCAATTATTCTATGTCTACTATTCCGAATCATGATGGCATTGTTGTGGATTCTTCTTCATTTGAGATTGTTGATTTTGTTTCGGATTTTTCTCCACCTGAGATTGTTGACATTGTTCTAGATTTTACCCCACTTGAGAGTGTTAACTTTGTTTCTTTACCTACTATCAAGTGTTTTCTTGAGTTTATACTTTCTTATGTTCAACATTAGGGCGTTATTGTTACTCTTTTGTCATCGATATCTTGTCCCATTGAATACTTTGTGTTGAAACCTAATGAGAATTGTTTTGCTATTCTCGAGTTTGAAACTAATGCTTATTTGCTTAATTTTCTATTGAATGTTAGTATTAGTCTAGATTTTTATTTGAAGGACATGCTGCTTAATCAAGGTACTCAAGCATCTCCTATTTTATTCGCAGGTGTTCATACAGATAGAGATTTTTTTATTTATCTTGATCGATGGAAAGAAGTTAATGGTTCTTTTATTCTAGATGAGACATTATGTCATCTCTATCCTGCTCTCTTAGGGTACTTCTACTTTGAAAACTTTCCGTAAGAGAGTTTTTTTCAACCAGAGGAGAATGATGGGGATCGTGTAAGAATTGGATAGATATTTTAGATTAATCATGAGAGTAATTTAGTATTGATCTTTTAAGTATTTTTTTTTTAACTTTTAAGGGTTTAGTTGTCATTTTGATTATTTATTTATTTTAGGATTTGTGATCTCCTTATATATATAGGATTTGTGAACTCCTTATATATATAGGGGATACATATTTGTTGAGAGACTAGACTTTGATTATTAATTATTGATATTGAATTTTTTTCATAAAATTCTCTCTCTATTCTCATTCCCTTCTTCTTTTCTCATCCTTTTTTTCTTCTTTTCTCATCCGTAATTTTTTCCTAATACGATTTACATCAATTTGGTATCAGAACCCAATTTCGATTAGTACAAATCACAAAAAAAAAAAAAAAAAAAACACTGTTCA